TGTTTGTGAGCAATGCAGTGAGCCAGGAGCGAAGGAGGGGCAATGTGAGGGGAGTTCCTGACAAGGAAACAATTTCGCAGGATGGTGGGACAAGGTTCGATTTCAACTGGTCATTTATATTCATGCGTATCACGAGTGGATAACACAATCAGTTTAAATTCTGCATCGGAAGAGCACAGGCACTTATGAGCTAGATAATAGCAAAATACCGGGAACGGATATTTTCATGTCCTGGCGCGTCACATCTAGGGGTTAAGCCTAAGCTGCGGTCTACTCTTAGTATTCTAAACGTAAATGGCGTTCTACACCCCCGATTTCATGTCTATCGACTACAAGAAGGGCTCCTAGAGTAAACCTGTGGTAAACCGCTAGCATACGGCTGCACTTTGTGTAAAGCAAAACTCCTGAATCAGTATTGGATAACAAACGAGGATATTCACAAAGTGACATGGACTTCACCAGATGGACAGACCGAAAATCGGATCGACTTCATCTCGATCTCAAGAAAGTGGAGCCGCCGCTTACTGGACACAAGAGTAAGAAGAGAAGCAGGTTTAGACCACTCACAATCTAGAGCAAGGCACTCACCTTCAAGATCAAGTTGAGAGCCTTCAAAGAAGTTGATGATAGATCACAGTTGAAGCTCGATGCCCAGAAACTGGGCTGAAGGACAAAACTACTAAGGGAGTCTTCACGTCAGCCATCAGGACAAAATGGGAGATATTGAGCAACATCCCTGAAGGAGCTTGCGCGGAAGAATACTGGAACACTTTGAAAGAGGTGTGGATGGAAGCCTGCATAACCGTATTACGAGGGAAGGAGAAACAGGACAAAGAAGGATCTCAACGGATACACGGAAACTGATAGCGGAGAAAAAGGCGGCGAAGCAGGAGACAGACCAGTGCAAAGGTGAATAATGAAGAGAGGGACTGGACATAACCCATCAAATAACCTACTCTGGACAAAGGGGTTAAGAAGAGTGCGAGGAAAGACAAAAGACACCTCCACGACACAGTAGCAAGTGAGGCAGAACAGACTGCAGGTGGAGAAACCTGGCAACACCACATCAAATAAACAGGTTATTGTCTGGGGGGGAAGGGATCAACACAGATGAAACCAATAAAAGATAGTGAAGGAAACCTTGTTAGAAAAGAGGAGAAGCAAAGTGACCAGTGGATTGGTCACTCCCAAAACTCTTGAATCGACCACCACCTGCAACTCGTCCAGAAACACCACCAGCAACCGCAGAACTATTAGTGAACACAAGCCCTCCGACAAAGGCAGGAGTGAGGTCCTGAACACCATAAAGTTGCTGAAATCCGAGAAAACAGCAGGACCAGATGGAAGTCCTCCAGAAGCACTGAAAACGGACGCAGAGACAACAGCGGACATGCCCACACCACTGCTGCAGAAGGTTTGGAAGGAAGGAAAGGCACCTGTAGATTGGGAGAAGGGCCACCTTGCCAAACTCCCAAAGAAGGGAGACCCAAGTCTTTTCAAGAACTGGCGCAGAATCATGCTCCTGCCCCTGGTCATCCCGAGCAAAACATTATGCCGCATCACCCCAGAGGGACTGAACAATGCTCTGGATTCGAAATCATGACCGGTACAGCCTGCCTGGCCTCGGGAAAAACAAATCATGTGGGGACCAAATTGCAACACTATGCATCATCACAGAACAGAGTATGAAATGCCAGCCAACTCAACGCGACCTCTGCTTCATCGACATTGAAAGGACCTCCAACAGCGCCAACCAAGAGGCAATTTAGCAGCTGCTTCAACACCACAGTTTTGGTGCCGCAAATCTTTATCAACGTCATTCAACAGCTATGTGAGGATGCTACAGGCTTAGTGATTGACAACTGAAGGTTCAGTGATGCCTCTGAAGTGAAGATAGGAGTTAGACAAGGTTGTCTACTTTCATCAACGATGGTCTTTCAGATTCTTCAGGTGAAAACCAACAGGATGGCGGAAGAGGCAAGGCAGCGGGGTCGGGACTTAGGGTGAACCCAGGGAAGACAGAGGCGATGAACATGCCCAACAGCGGCAGCAACAACAAACACTAAACACCATCAACAAGGGAAACCCATAAGCAGTTGTCTCTCTCTATTGCCTGCGCACCATAGTTTCGACTACAGGTGGCGGCACAGATGGGGATGTCAAAGCCAGGATTAGAAAAGCAGGACAGGCCTTCATCATTCTGAAATCAGTGTGGAGATCTTCTGCACCCCATTCAGCATAAAATGTGAATAAGATCCAGATTTTCAACACTAATGTCAAGTACGTCAGTGCTTCTATGTGGTTCAGAGACTTGGTGCGTTATGAAATGTACTTCCAACAACCCACAGACATTCATCAATAGCCACCCACGCCCGATTCTGATGATCAGATGACCAGAAAGAATAAGCGAAAAGGAAATCTGGCTGGCAACGAGTCAACCAAGAACCCACCGTCCAACAAATATGCAGAAGAAAGTGGAGATGGAATGGGTATACAGTGAGAAGACCACTCAGAGACATCACGCGCCTGGACCTCGAGTGGGATGCAAACGGGAAGCGACGAGCTGGGCGTCCAGTGGTGACATGGAGGAGATCATGTGGGGAAGAAACGAAAGCTTCTGGGTAGAGTGGAGCCAGCTTGAAAAGACTGCAGAGAGGAGAGTGAAGTGGAGACGTGCTACTGAAGACAAGTGTTCCACTAGTAACCCTAGTGACATATTATGACAACCATAAAGATGCATCCTCTGAGTACGCGTGACTTAGTCCTGCCATAGCCTCCTAGTTTTGGAGAAAATCAAGCAACTGGAATTAAAGATACGCATCCTCATGAGCTGCTGGGTTTTTATTTCCTGATTCAGAGCAGCTAACGGCTGATATATTGCTTCAGAATACCTCTGGAAGCTCTGTCTACAAAAGATAGGATTTTTTGCGAAAATGTGCTTTTGAGCAATCTCTATATTGCCCTAAGTGGCTTTCACTGACATCAAGGGAAGGGCCAGCGAGATCGATGCAGCATAAACTCCAGCAAGAGGGGCGGAAGAGAACGCATTCGGACATCTAAATATGTGGAATTAACTTGCACAAGTCCACGAGATCTCATTACACGAATGGGTTTGCCATTATTTACAATACTTGCTTACACCGAAGCAACGATCCCTTGGTGTTTGTGTCACTCTTCCCTGAGGTATGCTTGATCGATAGAATCTCTACTATAGCTGGCATGGAATCATGGTGATCGCGGTTGACAGCCTCATCGACCGAGACAACATCTATGCCCCTACATTCTTGAAGGTTTGGCCAATTTTGAAGACATCGTGGGGAGGTCTACTGCATTGAATGTGGGAAACTTCATCGACTCTGAGGGAATTGGGCATGTCGTACTGGGGATGCTGGAAACGTATTCGTCGTCAGAGACAGAAGGCTTCAACATATCACACCCATACTTATTGTCTGAGAGTGACAATAATTTCCAAAGCATTGCCAAAGCCTCTGTGATCGAGACTGAATTCGGAGAAAAATACAGCGTACAGAGCGTTTGGATCCATCAGAACTGTGGTTTGTTTCAACTTCTTACTTCTGTAGGACTCCACTCAGTATGCACCATGTGGTACGATGCGTCGCAGCTGTCATACTGCATACCTTCATGCATCTCGACTAAATCGCCTCGTCAACAACGTTCATGAGATGGGCTAAACATAGCGACCACGACCTGAACTAAGAGAATGGCGGTAAGATAATAAAAAGAACAGAATAACAAGTTGATTTCCAGTCACATCAACGCCGCGCGAAAAGGACTGCCAAAATGCTGCGTGGAGGCGCGAAAGCGTTCGGAAAGCAAACATTATTTGATGTATGCATATCAAAGTAGAATACTCCAACAAGCTCCCGGTGTGATTGGCACAAAAACCAAACAATAAAAAGTAGCGTGGAAATGTGACTCCCCTTTCTACGCGTAATACTGTGAAAACATTCACAAAACTCGGGAAAATGGAGAAACTTAAAGTTTATCTGTTTTGCTTGACGTCAAAGTTCACGGTAGAGCCTTTAGTGTAGGTCATTCATCAAAAGCACCGAACATTGACAATAGACGATCTACTTTGGGATCAAGGCGTAGCATTGACTTCCTCGCACAAACGTAGTTTCCGAATGCTGCAGATGTAGAAATTACTCGGGAAATCAGCCTTAACCAACTGTTTACACTGGGCTATACCTGGAAGATAAGGTGACGCCAATCTGTTGGTAGCATGTAGCAACTAGACCCTCCCTCTTGAGCAGATAAAGCCCATTCGCATTCGGTTACTTGGGTACTCATGGGGATTTGGTAGGACTAACGATATTATGTGAGAAACTTCAGCTTGTGGGCGTATACGGAAAACCGATGGAAGTTTGATACGGGATTACCTCAACAACTGATTGTAGGCTGTTAGAATCGACCCCTCCTTGTCTAGTTGATTCCCCAAGATGAATAAGGTGCCCCAGGGTTTCGTTCTTGATCCGGCGTTGTTTCTCGCTTTTATAAACAATCTACTGGCAGCCCGGAATTCTCATTCACATATTATATGAGTATAGAGTTAGAGCATGACGGGATACTTACGAGGATCGTTGCTAACTCGTTTGCAGTCATGATGTGTAAAATGTGCAATTTCTTTCCTGAAGAAATTGTTACAGCCCGTCCCCTTGATACTTCCAAAAGGAGATTGGACGTCCATTCGGAGTTCTGTGGCATGGATAGGCTGTAGTAAAGAAGCTTACGTGGTCTTAGAGACCTTGGGGAGCAACACAATCAGTAGATAGCTGGATAACTAATAACTGATTGTCAGGCTTTTGGGAACTTGTACAAGAACTGCGAGAGTCTCGAATGGAGAACACATTCCATTACTGCAGAGATAGGGACCAAAAATGCAATCCTACTCTATTTCAACAACAGGAAGTTCAAAAGATTTCCGTCTACCCCCGCTAATTCATGTAGCGTGGCACTTATTTTCTACTCCTGTAAGTGGGGCCTAGATGACCTTGACGCATTTTGGTGGGTATACGAAAATAATTGGTAAGTTTTAGCTTGGATGTTTTCCCCCCATTCACATGCACATCAATTTCTGATGGTTTGTTGATCAGAATGATGCTTACATTTTATTTTCCGCAGACCATGTTACTTTTCACTGTTGGTTAATTGCTTGTGTTCGTTTATATGATTATTACTTACACCTTCAATTTTGCTGGTATTAGTAAAAATATTCATTTGGTAACATATATTTTGAGGGGAAGGGGTGATTATCTGGTGTTCAAAGTAAACTGTTCTTGGCACATCGGCGTCGTGTTATTGGAGATAAAGCACCTAGTTTTGTGGTCTGTTACCACAAATTACTTACTTATGGGAGTCAGAAATTTTCCGGATCATGAATTCATGATTGTTCAAGATTACCATGTTTTAATGATGAGTCCCTAGTTTTGGACATTACAAGTAATCTTACACCTGAAATGGCAGATAGTATATTATTTATGGAAGAAGTCATAATTACCCTACATTGATGGCATGCAGTCTTCGATAATCCATTGTCCATAAGATATTGTTTACAGAGAAGACAGTTAGACAAAAGCTTCCCTTCCGTTACCAATTATTTGAAACCATTTAGGGGGAAATCCTATTTTGTGGAGTTTACGAGGATGCCTATAGGCATCTTTGGTTATAAGCAAGACATATACTTGGCGAATTGAAGTGATGCTATTTTCCCCATAGTTCAGTCTCAGCTGGATGAGGAACAAGCTTTAGCATTACTTGTGTGGAGAAATTTGAACTTCGTTCTTTGATATTTCGGAAGTCTGAACAAGTTTTGGGATGCTATGTAAAGCTTTCGGATGTTAGGTAGCATCAAGATTGCTGGTTATAAAGAACCAAAGTGAAAAAGTGGCTACTATAAGATGATTTGTGAAACAACGTTAGACATCATCATATTCACAGAATGATTAGGGTCACCAAGGAAACATCAACCCATGAGCATCGCTGTTTATCAACTTTTGCATTATATTGATGCTGTTGAATGGTATAATGACTATGAATGATGTCTCAGCACTAATCTTACAGTTCTCCAACCGTCGTAATGACGTTGAAGTAAATCTAAAAGAGCAGTACCTTCAAACTATTCTGCTTTAACATTTAACCGTATCCCTGTGAAACTGGCTACTTGATGTAGGGTTATGGGTTCAAAGCCTGCTCCATTTACAGAGCTCTGGGAAGCCAAGTAGTGCGGTTCCATCTCATATAACGGGTATGGTTCGTTGCACATTACATATAAGTGCATATGGTCTATTGGTTGCACCTTATTTGTTTTGTGCATTTTTATTTGTTCTACTTGTATAAACGCAATTATCCATGCAATACATTTTAAGCGTCCGATTGTTTTTGCAACATTGTATGGCAAATTATCTGCTTTGAGTCACTATTGTTTATTCTTGCCTTCCTAAGTACCCGTCCACTCACCTCATATCGAATGATAGCACATAGACTGTACTTTGGAAATACGATGTTCAACCATGTAGAATATACCTACTGCAGACAATGCAATGACATGGGAATTTATTTCTGAGAATTATGCACATGTTGGTGTTTTGTCGTTGTTGTAGGGGTTGAGTGAGAAAAGTCATAGTTATCTACACAACTCACTGAGATATCGAAGGTAGTCATGAAAGGTTTTCTAATTTCCCTAATGGCTACTTTTTTCGGTAAACTATTATAAAGTTTTGTCATCGAAGTGAAATACTCAAAAATCGAAATCGAAGTGCATTAAGCAACCGTGTTCATGACCATGCAGTAGGCAATGAGCCACACCTGTTTCATGAAGCCTAATGATACCACCTCGGTAGGTGGATCAGTGTTCGAACCTGTGACCCACTGGTTAAAAGTGGATTGCCCAGACCAATGAGCGGCAACTAATTTGAAGAAAAGCGACAATACTAAGAGTGTTTACCTGTGTGTTGTGAAGTGAAATTGATGAGTTTTGTTTCATTCTGTACAAACTGTGTCAGTTAGGCTTTCGTTTCTAGTTCTTAAGAATACTACCTGTAAAGTCTACTGGAGGATGGCTAGTTTTAAAATGGATTTTTTTGATGGCAGCGGGTGTACCAGTCAGCCACAAAATTTAAGCTGCAATCGGGTCTTTACTGCTCATCATCAACTCTTTTCTGCCATGTCAGATTGAGGCTATTCATAAAACTAGATATTTTTAGTGTGATAGTTTAGTTTGACTATCAATACCAATGAGCTCGAACGGCACATTTGGTGTGAGATATGGTCATAGTATCTTGCCACTCGAATCTAGGTAGGTGTGTGTTGTTGTGATCCGCTACTTATGTATTGTTGAAAGTTGAGTACCTAAAAAGAAGAATCACAACCCTACTCCAAGTGTTATATGTTTCGATATATTGTTTGGTTTTCAGTAGTATCGTCGGCCCTCAAAAGCAGACAGATAAAATAATGTAGAACCTCGCACGGAAGTGCACCGATTCAAGTTGCTACAATCCACAGTAGCATGCAAAGAACAAGTGAATACAAAAATAGATTTCAAGGTAGATCAAAGTGTATGCGAGTTGAGAGAGTAAATCGATGGAATTTGATGGAAATATTGAAAGGATCGAAAATTGTAGACTGTATACACCTGCACCATTGTAATTGATTTCAAGCCATATCACCGCGAGTCTCCGACCATTGATTCCCATTGTCTCTATGACACCAACTGGGAAGTCTACAGCTCCCTAAGTAGGTCATACAAATAGTCAATGACTTCATGGAATTGAATAGCTTACTTTGAAAGTCTTTGAACTCAGTACTGGGCAACACAGGTTCACATCAACGAAGAAACACCAGTTTCCTCGAGATTGAAGACATGTCTTGCTGGTGTGTGCTGTGAAGCGAAAAACCCACGTCTAGGGTTTCCCACCGACTGATTCCTGACACCTACCACCAAAATACTGTGCACTGGTGTTACTTCGCTCGGGTTATTGATCTTATTTCGAACTGGATTGATAGATTTAGTCAGTACTGAGGGTTACGGATTAATCATCCGTACCAATTACTTCCGACCGACAGCTTCTATCCTGATGTGAGGGTCGGGTTTGCATATTGCAATGACCCAACGAACTACGCTGGCTGGAACGCGTATTACTTTAGTTCCTAACGTGCCAGGAAGTTCTGTTGGATAGTGATTATACAAAGGTATCTTTCGTTGTAGGTTGAACTGTGACTCTATAACAACTTACAGACAAAATCGTGGAGGCATCTTGCACTGAAGTACATCAGTTAAAGTTAAATATAAAAAACGGTTGGATTGGAAATGTGTTATGAATTTGGGGGAAGTTGTGTGGGAGAATTAACAATCTGAAGATGTCACTGCAAATATTCAAGGTCTTGAAGACGTCAAAAGATGAATACTTTGGTGCCATTATGACTTTTTTTCAGTCATGTCACCAGGACTCTCCAACCACTAATTCCTGTGATCTCGGGAATCTCAACCAAGCAGTCTACATCTCACATGCTTCAGACCAACGGTAACAGACTTGATCAACTGATGCCACGTCTTGGTCTGGCCACCCTGAATCCTCTTGCAACGTAATCCAACTCCTCATAGCATGGCACGTTGAGATAGGAGGTGGTTTGTCATGCGCAGTTCATTTCCATGCCATCTCAGTCGACTAAGATTCACAAACTAATCAGTTGAATTGTCTATCCTGCCTAGTACTGTTAGCTAGATCCCAACATTGCTCACACGGTGAATCCACCAACTGCGAGAAATGCTACAAAAACATAGGTGAACAAACACTGTAGTCGTTTTGCGTCTTTACTTTTAACTTCCATGTCTTGCAGTCGTACAACAGAATACTATAGACTACAGCACTGTATACTTACCCTTCCGTAAGTAGTCGGATATCTCGCTAGTTGATGCCACAGACGACACAAGTTGACAAATGCCGAACCGGCCTTCTGTATCCGAGCTGAGATTTCGTCAGCAACCAGCCTGTTTCGGCTGATACAACTGCTCAAGTCAGTGAAGTGATCGACACATTCAACCACTCCCTATCATCAGACTGGGAGTAATTGCAGACGAGTTCTGGAGCATCATACACTTAACAGGTGCCAGCGAATCGTGTGCCAAGCAACTCATATTTCTGCTAAATGAGTCCAAAAGGCCCTGCATCTTATCAGCGTCTTCACCCAGCAGGACAAAATCGTGTGCGTATTACAAACCAACCAGATTTCGTCCAGAGAGTAGACCAACCGCTGTGAGGTCAGACGTAGCTAAGACTATATCCATTATTACGTCTATTAAGAAGTTCAGTAGGAACGGTCACGGTGGAAATCCCTGGCGGATACCACTAGTTGTCGTCATTTCTGATGAGAACTCTCTGTAAGCTCTTATAGGACTGCGTGAGTTCGAATAGGGAGCTTTAATTTGCGTTACCTATTTTTTTGGTACTTCTTTCATAGTCAGACAATACTACAACACCTCGTGGTCAACAGAGTCAAATGCTGGCCTCAGGTCAAGAAATATGGCAAGTTTTGACCATTTGCTGATAAGTGTGTCTGTGTTCTAAAACTTGTCGGATGGTAAAAGTATAGTCAGTCCACTCTCTTCCAGGTCTGAAACCTGCACCGTTTTATCGACTTTCCTGTTCTTGAGCCACAGTTAGGTGTGGGACAACTATGAACTCTAGGATCTTGAACACGATGTAGGTCAAACTGATTCCCTCATGGTTGTCACAAGAAGCCTTTCCTTTCTTATAGAATGGGATGATCACTAAAGTACACCAGCCTGATATCATTACCTCCAATTCCTATACACTACCTATTAGCTTCGTCACTTTAATCGTCAATTTCCTACCACCATCCATGAAAGCGTGTGGTGACAAACTGTCAGGTCCTGTAGCTTTGCATTGTTTCAGGTTCGATACAGCTTTCTCAAGTTCACGAAGAGTTAAAGGATCGGCACCCACGTCCCGTTCGGATTCAGGATGGATACTGAGGGTCAGTTGAACTGTGTTTCATAGTGTTCTGCT